TACTGGATCCAACCTTCGTTCTCCACACCAAGTGTGAAACACCTTCCACTTGAGGCCATATAATCTCCTGGTAGATGGGGCCCTAGAGCTAAGTATGGTTTCAACCACCTCAGCTGATAAGCCAGCATTTAGGTACTGAACCCCCTCAGAGGCCAGACCCACAGCTTCCACAACTCTGGGCGAGGGTGGAAGATTGTGCCCTCCGCCTGAGACAATAGATCCCTCCTCAGAGGAATCGGCCATGGCGGAGCTATGAGGAGTGATATTATATCCGAGAACCATACTCGTGTCGGCCATCTCGGGGCAACCAGAAGTAGACTGATGCCCTCTTGACGGACCCTCTCCAGGACCCCTGGGAGCAGAGCGATCGGGGGGAAAGCATACAGGCGAAGCCTCGGCCAAGCCTGTACCATGGCATCCAACCCAGTGGGGCTGGATGTGAGAGGGAGAACCAAAGTGGACAGTGGGACGTCTCTCGAGACGCAAACAGATCCACTTCCATCGGTCCGAACCTCTCCCATATCGACTTCACCACATCCGGATGAAGTCTCCATTCCCCGGGCCTCAGCCCCTGCCTCGACAGGATGTCTGCTCCCCGATTCTGAACCCCTGGGATATACATTGCCCTTATTGACAATATCTTTCCCTGGGACCAAAGGATAATCTGATGCGCCAGTTTGCACAGAGGGCGCGATCTGAGTCCCCCCTGTCGGTTCAGATAGGCCACCACTGACGTATTGTCTGTCCGTATAAGGACGTGGCGACCCTCGATGTCTGGGAGGAAGCTCCTCAAAGCCTTGAATACCGCCATCATCTCCAGGCAATTTATATGCCAAGTGCGATGATGGTCCTGCCACAGACCCCTGGTAAAGCGGCCGTCCATGACCGCGCCCCAGCCCGTAAGGGAGGCGTCTGTCGAAACGGTTTCCCGGCGACATGACACCCCCAACACTGGCCCTTGGGATAGGAACAAGGCTTCTTCCATATTTGCAGAGACTGAAGGCACTTGCGCGTTACTCTGATCATACGGAACGGATTTCCTTTGGGTGAGAACCCCTTGGTCTTCAACCACCACTGGAGGGGCCTCATGTGAAGGAGGCCCAGAGGAATAATGTTGGATGCCGCTGCCATGAGGCCCAGCATCCTTTGAAAGTGTTTCACAGTGACGGCCTGACCTAGCCTCACCCTGGACACCATCGCCAGAATTGACTCGATACGTGCGGGAGACATACGTGCCTGCATTGTAATCGAGTTCCACACGACTCCCAAAAAGGTCGTGCCCTGGACGGTTCTAGCACACTCTTCTTCAAATTGAGTCTTAACCCCAATTTTTGAATATGGCCAAGAACGACATCTCGATGCCGAACTGCCATCTCCCGAGACTGGGCCAAAATAAGCCAGTCGTCGAGATAATTCAATACGCGAATCCCTGAAGTCTCAGTGGAGCAAGGGCCACGTCCATACACTTGGTAAATGTGCGGGGAGAGAGTGCTAGGCCGAACGGAAGAACCCGATATTGGTATGCTTCGCCCCCGAAAGCGAACCTCAGGTACCTCCTGTGACAAGGAAGGATGGAGATGTGAAAATAGGCGTCTTTCAGATCTATCGTGACAAACCAGTCCTCGGATCTGATTTGACTCACGATTGTTGGAATGGTCAACATTCTGAATTTGAACCTTCTCAGAGACCGGTTCAACACCCTGAGATCCAAAATTGGCCTTAACCCCCCATCCTTCTTTGGAACTATAAAGTACCGGCTGTAAAACCCGGACTCCCTGTCTACCGGAAGAACACGTTCTATGGCTCCTTTCGACAGCAGAGTCTGTACTTCTTGTTCCAACACCTGAGCCTGCTCTGGGACCACCGCAGTGAGCACCACCCCAGAGAACTTGGGGGGGCGGTGCGCGAACTGCAGTCTGTACCCAACTCGTATTATCTGCAGGACCCATGGAGATATGTTGGGAAGATGATACCATCCCTCTACAAAATCTGCTAAGGGTACCAGCCTCTCGAGGCTGGCCTCTGGTGTCTTTTCGCTGGAAATTGATGCGGCCCGAAGCGCTGTTAACGGCGGACCTGCATCTTTTCCTAGAGGGCCCGTTGTGAGAACAACCTCGGTTGTCTCACTGCGGAGGGGGCAGCCCTCTGAAGTCCTGCCTTGGCTAGGACCTCTTTTCCGAAGTCCTCTTAGCCTGAATGACGTCCCTCAGGTCGCCCCTCTGGCTGGAGGACTTCGGTTTTTGGGAGCGTTTCCTCTGTTGCCAAGACCCCGGAGGGGGGGCTCTAGAGGAAACGCTCTCCTTCTGCTCTGCCCTGTGGGAGGAGCTGGCTGATGGCTGGGGCTGATTGCTTTGCCCCCCCCTACTAGATTTGGCCTTCGCTTTCCGGGGGAGGTACTGCTGGAACGCCGCAGATTGTTTTCTCGACTCCTGAAACCTGTCGACAACCGAATTAACGGCGTCGCCGAACAGGCCAGAAGCCGAAAGCGGCGCATCCAGCAGGAAGGACCTATCCTTTTCTTTAATACCGGATAAGTTCAGCCACAGATGCCTCTCCGTGGCCACCATGGCCGCGCGACATCTTCAGGAGTAGGCCCCTCCCCCTCATCCAAATCTTTCAGGAGGTCGGCCTGGTATGCCTGCAAAATCGCCATTGAGTGCAGACACGAACCAGCCCGACCCGCCGCCATGTAAGCCCTGCCCACCAATGCAGATGTCTCTCTGCAGGGCTTACTAGGCAACACCGGGGTCTTTAGGGAAGACGCCGATTCGGGAGAGAGATAGCTCGCTAAAGCCTCCTCCACCTTCGGCATCTTCCCATATCCCATATCTCGAGCCCCCATAACATTGCTGTAATCTATTACATTGGGACTCGAAATACGGGACGAATGCGGTCTTTCCCACGTTCTCGAGATCTCTTTATGGAGATCAGGGAAAAACGGCAGACCCCGGCGGTGAGGCTGTGACCTGCGCTGCAGGTAACGCTCGTCCATTTTACTGGTGACTTGCGTTTCCTGCTCATGTTGTGGCCAGCTGATGTTTAGTCTGGCCACAGCGCGTGTCACAACCTCCACCAGCTCCTCATAACCCAGGCCGCGTGATGGCGTGCTGAGATCACGGTCGTCCGCATCGATGCTGAGCACGTCCCCTTCCTCAGAAGTAGACAGCTCAAGCACCGGGACCTGATCGCGGGTAGGAGAAACCGCAGCGCGGGCTCCCACACCACTCTCAGAGGCTGCGGGACCAGCCGATGGCGAGCGAGAAAATGCCTCAGCATTCTCACTCTCCTCCGCCAGATCCCGCTGCGAACCCCAGGATCTCAGTCGCCGCATCGCCTCGACATATGCGGGACCGGAACCCTGGGGAACGCGAGCCTGACCGTGCTCGTCAAAGCACGCCAGCCGGGAGCGCAGCACTCTAATAGGCAAAGCCTCACACATTTCACAAGCAGCCCCCTCGAGAGCTGCCCGTGCGTGCTGCACTCCCAAACAATACACACATAGAGAGTGTGCGTCCCCACCCGTGATGAAACGAGGGCAGGGATGCACACACCTCTTGAATTGTTCACTGGCCATACTTTCTTTCAATAATAAGACAAACAACACCAAATAAGACAGACAGTTTCAACATAAAGCGCTTGCTGAAGAGCGAAAGCTAGTGTGTGTTGTGACAGCGTCACTTTTATACTTCCGGGTATGCCGTCACATGTTACGTCACGACGCAACACCAATCAGGATTGGATTAGTTTCATTCATACTTCAGAGGCGCACGCTTAGGGAGCGTCCCCAAAGAGTCGATTTTATCGACGCAGTGTTGAGTTCCCTCGATAGGGAACAGAGATTTTTTCCCCCCAAAGAAAGTACATTGTAGTTAATGACACCTAATATAAAGTGTGAGTGTTATCTTATAACTTGAATAATGATTTTTCTTAGAAAATATGTGATCTGAGCTCTAAAGTTTAAAGTATCTTGTAGAATGGCTGGGAGATGTGAGTTTTACTTTACCATACCATACCGTGTTAGATAAGCAGTCTACGTTATTTACACTGACTGAGAACAAAAAAAGGAGTAAGCCAATATCAATGATTTAGTTAAGAGCTTTAACAAAAAAATATCAATACGCATGTGCAAACATACACATCAGATAGACCCCACCTGTTCAGTTTCATGCTAGGTTTGGGTCTGACAGTCCAAAACAGCTTTAGATATAAACACCACAACACACAATACAAGTGCAAACACAGCATGAAAGCAGAAACAATAAAGCAGAAAAGAGAACAGTCATGCTGTTTCAAAAGTAAAAACTGGCGCCAAGTGTTACACACATTGTGTCTTATTCCAACGAACCTAAATGTCCAATCCGAACTTCTCAAATAACTTAAATATTATGTAAAATACATACAAAACAAAGAGCTGAAATATGGTGGTGAAATGCTCAAATGAACTGGACTGGACATTGTAAGTTCGTAGTTCTTTGACACGAAATTCATGTGAATTGATAGTGGCACTGCACTGATCGTGTAGGTGCAAATACTTTGACTAGTTCAAACTGTGGATCCATATATGTAATGAATGACGCAATAATTCGACACAAAAGACAATTATTTCTTGGAAACAAGTTATATGCGTCAAAGTATTCGGCACTGCTACAACTCCCCCACATTAAAACATGCATCAACACAAATGAAGGCACAATGAACTTTGAAGCAAGCATACAAGTACCTCAGTTGTAACTGAGCGGACATACTGACAAGAGGGAAAGAGGAAGAATTAGTTAATGTGCAAACACTTGCTATTGTGTAGAGAACAGCTTGTGAAAGTAGATCAACTTACTGGTCATGGTCATATATTTGACTTTTTTATGCAGATCATATTGGCTCAATACTGCTAATTACAGAGCTAATAACGGTTATTTTTCAAAGAGCTTGAACTATATACATATGTAGCCCTCAAACCGTATTCACTTTATAGCCCTTAATCCTGTAGTTGTGGACAAATGTGGGCACAGAGGACTGTTACTAATTTTTATTTATTATAAATGTTATATCACTGTCTTCGATAAAGTTTTATCTTTCCATTTATGGTGTTTTTTTTATTTTGGGGGTATTTTTGATTTTATTTACTTCAAAAAGTACAATATTTTCTATGTAATTTATGCTTATTTTTATGTTTTATTTAAAAAATTTTTTAACTACATTAAAATATCATTCCAGTAAGTTCTTAGAGCTAAAACCTAATGATGAAAACTGTCACCTGGTGTTTTATTTTGGCTTAATTTAAAATGCTCTTTACAGTTTTTTCCCATTCATTTATATGGCTGCCCGTTTTTGACCCAAATACAAAATTAAGGAGTTTTTTTTTCACCCACTTAACATTGTAGAATTGAGTCAAAAAAAAAATTGTGTGTATTTTTTAAAAATTAATCAAAACTATTTTTCCCACATTTGTCAAGAATATGTTAATTGACCATTACAGGTGTTTGTTTCCTGAGTTTAGGGCCATTACTACAATTGACACATGTATTCCTATATTTAGATGTGGTTAACCAATTTTAATATTTTAATTGCTTTTTTTTTTGTCAATGGCGTATTCTGAAGCTTATTTGATCCACCCCTTCCTCAAATATTTAGTTACACCCTTCCCTAAGCTAAAACAAGCATGAATTTGTATTGTGTTATTGGTAATTTGTAAGGACTTGAGGAAATATCCAATTTATAAATATTTAGCTATTTTACTTGGCAAACTTACAAATGCACCATTGTCATGGGTTTATATCACAATGGTCAGAGACCAATATTGTTGCCACTACTGTGGTGCTAAAGCCATTGTTTTTCACTTAGTCTGCATTAAAATAATAGAATGTGATACTGTCAGTGCAGCCAAGTTGCAAAAGACCCACACTTTAGTCGTTTGTTCTCCAAATAATAGCGTTTAGAGGAAATGTGTTGTTGATATCTGAGAAAGCAAAAGGAGAAAGACTGTGGTTGATATGAAACAAGCAAGTCCTCAATAGACATTGTGTCATGTCAATGATGACAGATTTCAGTTTCTAAATGAGCTGGAAAGTCCCTTTCCTCACTTTCTTGGCATGAGATGAAAAAGACGAACTATGTTTCTGATGCAAGTCATTGCTATGGTATTTTAGCAGTTAGGAATCACTTATTCCATTAAAGTGAAATTCTACGTTTTGATTGTAAATGGTGTGCGGATGGATGGATGTCTGAGAGATCGATCTCAGATCCCATCCATCCATCCATCCGCACACCATTTATTAGGCCATAAAATCCATGCATCCGCAGAGACTTACACTGCTGTCCTCAGCTTTCTCTCTGCGCTTGACCTTGTGTGTCTCGAAGTCCTCCATCAGAGTCTGCATGAAGTTCTTGGTCCGCTGTCCTCCTCCAGAGTCGTCGCTGCCCAGATCAGACAGAGGCGAGGGCAGAGCTCCTTCTGAAGGGCACGGCGACGCCGGAGGAACCGGACGAACCTTCTCAATCTTACCTGCGCACAGACCAATACATAACACACTTATACACACCGTAAGAAATAATTGCTCCACCACAGTAAAAGACCTGGGTGTTATATTTGACAGCAACTTGTCTTTTGAAAATCATATTTCATATGTCTTCCTGCTCAGAAACATTGCTAAGCTCCAGACCATGTGATCCAGAAAAGTTAGTTCATGACCTCTAGACTAGATTACTGTAATGCATTACTAGCTGGTAATTCTCAATAAACAATCTACAATTAGACCAAAATGCTGATCATACAGTATAACACAAATTGTATCACCTCTACACTGTTTGCCTATTAAGTTCTGTATCGATTATATAGTATTTCCACTGACCTATACCCAGACAGCAAACTGACATTGAATCAACGTGGAAACGACGTCTCTCATGACATTGAAACAACGTTGATTTTGCTCATCGAATTAACGTTGAACCAACGTCAGACGCGGCATTCTTCAAAGCTAAAAGAAAATCGAAAATTGGTTAGCTTTCATAACGTTGATACAACGCGTTGATTTCAAGTTGATTTTCCGTTAGTTTTGAAAGAATGACGCGTCTAACGTTGGTTCGACCTAAATTCGATGAGCAAAACAATGTCAGATCAACGTTGTTTCGATGTCATATTTCCACGTTGATTCAATGTCAGTTTGCTATCTGGGTAATATAAGCCCCTAAACGGTTCTGCTCCTGTGTTTTTAACCGATCTTCTATCGCACTTCAATCCATCACACTCTTTAAGATAATAAAACTAGGGGTGTCTGGTAGTACTTATCTAAGTCCACTAAAGGAGGGAGAGTGTTTTTACGCATGGTTCCTAAACTCTGGAATCGCCTTCTTGATAATGTTCAGGGCTCAGACTCACTCTCTCAGTTTAAATCTAGATTAAAGGCGCATCTTTTTAAGCCAAGTTCACACTACAGGATTTTAAGCCCGATTTATGCCTGATTTGCAAGTCGTTGAGCTCGCCGACAGGTCAGGGTGTTATCGCGTGCAAATCGCGGGGGATTAGCGGACGATGAACGCTTGCCAATCTGTTAGTATGATAGAGCCAACAACGCAGCGAAAACGCTCGCAGACGCCTCGCAGACGCATCGCCGAGCCCAGAAACTGTGCCACTCGACCTCAGTGATGTCATGAGTACAGCCAATCATAGCAACGCATGGGTTGAGGACACCAGGTAAATCTTAGTTTATCTTTTCTTTTTTGCTTTTTTTTCTCAGAGCAGATCGTCGAGCAAACACTGTGCAGCACTAGTTTCTGTCTGACGTCCATATTCGCGTGTTGTGTTCTTCTCTGCAGTTTCGCGTCATTTCTGGTTCGTTTCATTGCGTGGATTTTCGTGACAGATAGAATCGTTGGGTGACAGAGTTGTTATCAACTCGTTATTTATTTGATTATTTTCAGGATTTAGACCGTACCATCCCAGATAGCAAACTGACATTGAATCAACGTGGAAATATGACATCGAAAGAACGTTGATCTGACATTGTTTTGCTCATCGAATTAACGTTGAACCGACGTCAGACGCGTCATTCTTTCAAAACTAACGGAAAATCAACTTGAAATCAACGCGTTGTTTCAACGTTATGAAAGCAAACCAATTTTCGATTTTCATTTAGCTTTGAAGAATGCCGCGTCCGACGTTGGTTCAACGTTAATTCGATGAGCAAATCAACGTTGTTTCAATGTCATCATGAGAGACGTCGTTTCTACGTTGATTCAATGTCAGTTTGCTGTCTGGGATAGTACTGAAACAGCTCTCATTGAGTCACAAATGATTTGCTCTTATCATCCGATCGTGGCTGCATCTCTAGTGCGTTGTCAACTCATGTTGTGAGTTACCTCCTGTTGTGGATCAATCACATTGTGTTGTGTGGTGTGAACAGCTAAACAACTTGAACGCTCCTGATTTCACTGAGAGCAAGTCATGTAATGTGAACCGCACAGTTCAGCCCGACGTTTTAAAATCAGGTAGTGTGAACAAGGCTTTAGCCAAACATTCACAAAATGGATCTCAAAACCTTGTACTTCAGTTATATCAGATCAAATGCATGTGATTAGCATAATGTTGTGAACAGCAGCTAGGCTAGGCTAGTTACCCTCCATTTGCTTCTCTGTTTTATCTCAGGATGCCCATCCTAATGTAACTAGAGAGTGTTTCAGCTCCAGTTTATTATGAAGACTTCAAATGCCCAACCCCAGTGAAGATGCTTCGAGACTCCAGCGAGGACCTCAGATGATGCAAACACTGAATCAACATGCACCAATACTACATCTTCTATATATTGTAATCAATGAATGAACATAAGTTCACAGCTTGTAATAATTTCTTCAATTATCACATTGTTTCTGCCTTAAATGAATACACTGTTAGCTAACTGAGTGATTTGTTTATATACCTCTCTGAAATATATAAGTTAGTAGTCACATATGATTACAATAACACATCACTCTAAATTGTAATTTAGACATGTATTTTCTGAAAAGTGGCTTTGAAACTATATTGTGAAAAGTGCTATACAAATATATATAAGTATACAAGTGCTATATATATAGTATTCCATATATTTTTATATTATTTTGATTGTATAAGGCTGGCATATGTTCTTGGACATGTTTCTTGAAATCCATTCAAACTCTCTTTTTTTTTGTTGGTAGTAAAATTACATTCCAATATTCAGCGATATTAGTATTGACACTGTTAAAAAAAATCTGAAAAATGACACTGTTATAAAACTGTTATAACACTGTTATAAAACTGAACAGAGCTGTATGATGACATCATGCGTTCTGCAGAGCTGCTTTATAGTTTAAATTTATAGATTTATAGATTAACTCATTTCATAATTGATTAACTTTACAGTTATTGAATTGAACTGACTTCAGCTGAACAACGACACTGTCTTTTTATTGAACTCTGTTTGCACCATTGATCGTTATTTTCCTGTTTATCCCTGTGAAGCTGCTTTGAAACAATATGTATTGAGTAATGTAAAAATAGACTTACCGGTATTTTTACCGATGTGCACAGACTTCAAATGCCAACGTAACTAATGACAAATATCTTAGAAGAAATGGATAAAGAATTAAAAATCATTAATTTGGAATTTTAGTTTGTTTGGAATGTTTCATCTCTCAGCAGTTTAGGAGACATGAAAGGGCCCAGAGACACATTCTTGATTATGACCCAAGTATGGATACTAGAGGCACAGAGGACTCAGTGTAGAAACATACAATGCAGTTCCAGGGAATCTGAGAGAAAAGCATGTCAGTCGGTATTAATTAAAATCGTATTATTATTATTATTGGGCAGCTAATGCAGCTAATTTAAGTACTTTAGCTTGGGGGATAAATATCGCTTTAGTGGAGTTAGGTGACAAGCCAAAATGGTTAGCAATGGAAGCTTCTTGTGATAGACTTCATTAACGGCTCTGCTTACTAGTCCCATAAAAATTGATGTCAAAAATATCAATGGAAACATAGTTTTTTCTAATTGAATTAAAGTGTGTATACAAAATAAGGTATATTTTAAAATTTCACATATATATATATATATATATATATATATATATATATATATATATATATTTATGGGGTTACATGGTAAGCTCTTCTCCCCCAATGGAAACATATCGTATATTAACTATTCAGGATCTTTAGGGAAGGTGCATTTAGCTCTTTTGAACAGCTAAAACAATACTATGCTCTTGTTTCTGCACATTTTCCCGACTTTTGCAAGTTAGAGATTTTGTAAAAAAAGCACATGTCAGATTTTGAAGTTTTGAATCCCACCTAGTGTACACTCTTTTTGAAAAGCATTAAGTGAAAATTTGCAGTAGAAAAATCCGTGCCTCTTCACATGAAGTCTATATTTGTCCTCTGCAGAACTACTGTCATCAATGAGAGGTCAATAAACGATACGGATCACACAAGATCAATTCCAATACTATGGGATTTAGCATTATAGCTAAAAGCAAGCTAAAAGAAAGGACTCATGCATTCCCTATGACACCACTAGAGGGCAGACATAAACTTCTCAAGTACAGGACATCATCATGAATAAGACACTGTTGTCAAAAGGAAAACCACACACTGCCATTAAATACTGTGCAGATGAGTGTTACATCACCAAAACCAAACACACATAAACAGAACATTTAAAGTACATGTTGCTAGTCTGTTATAATAATTTTTAACATCAAACCAACATAATTTGAAACTGTTGGTGGTCACTAGAACTGAAAGCTTTTACACATATATATGTTACCCATATAGCATTATCTAGTCAATTGTTCAGAGAAGTCATCAGTCATCAAGCTCATACAGTGAAAAACAAATCAGACACTGTGCTGCAGTTTTCTTCAAGCCCTCTTCAAAAAGCACAGCTTGCAAAAGTGACTGAGGCTGAACAGCGGGTGCAGACCCACAGGACACAGCGTGCAAGGAATGTAAACTAAAGTAGCTCTATGAAGAGAAGCTCCAGGATCCCAGTGAAATGACTGAGAATCACCAGGTAATTAACATCAAATTTTGAGTTACAGAGACAGATATTTGTCAGCCTTCAGTCTTAGCTGATGGTTTGCAATAGTAGTCAAACATTTCTTGAAATGATGTTTTATTAACAAAGTTCGGGACGAGCACGTTTTAATGATCTATCCAGTCAACGTGTCATCAGCAATTATCGCGTCTAATCCTATCAATTTGTGAGGAAGAAGACTATACACACAGTCGACTCACCTACGTTTCCTCTACAGTTTTCAGCATCCCACCACCACCACGACTTCTAACTCTTGGCTTGTTCCCACCACAGCAATTTTTTCTATCTGACTTATGTGTAATAGTGAACTTGTGAAATAGGCGTCAACACATTTAGCCTACCAGCAGACTGAGTAATTGAAGTCCGGAAATAATTAATTACGTTCTGGTGTTATCCATGAAAAACTTCACAAAGAGCACCTTAAATATGATTATGAGTACTAATTTGCATCTTGTATGGTTTATACTAAAGGGCTATTAAATGGTTAGTTCACCCAAAAATGAAAATTCTGTCAGTATTTACTCACCCTCATGTTGTTCCAACCCCGTAAGACCTCTGTTCATCTTCGGAACACAAATTAAGATATTTTTTATTAAATCTGAGAGCTGGATCACTCCTGCATACTAGTCCATAGGCTTCTTGAGGAATTGAAACTTGCCGGCCTCGAAAAGTTATTAAAGACATCGTTAAAATAATCCTTCATCGTTAAAAAAGTGACTTCAGTGGCTCAATCTTAACTTTATCAAGCGCCGAAAATACTTTTTGTGCGCAAAAACAAACATAAATAACGACTTTATTTCAACTATTCACTTCCTTCTCTATGGGCCTCTAGTCAGTTAACGTAGTGTGATAGTGTAGAGCTATGTCACACGTAGGCTCACTATTGGCTGACACTGGTCATGTGTGTGATGCGTGTGACGTACAACAAAAGATCATACGCTGTTAGACTAGTAACCTGAATCAAGGCCCAGAGAGAAGGAAGTGAATAGTTGAAACAAAGTCGTTATTTTTGTTGTTTTTTGCGCACAAAAAGTGTTCTCGTTGCTTAATAAAGTTAAGATTGAGCCACTGTATTCACTTGGACTATTTTAACGATGTCTTTAATAACTTTTCGATGCCAGCAAGTTTCAGCAAGCCTATGGACTACAATGGAGTGATCCTGCTCTCAGATTTCATCAAAAATATCTTAATTTGTGTTCCGAAGATGAACGAAGGTCTTACGGTGTTGGAACAACATGAGGGTGAGTAAATACTGACAGAATTTTCATTTTTGGGTGAACTATCCCTTTAATTATAGGACAAGTTAGCCTTCAAATAAAAGTCCTCAAATAAAGTTCCGCACCAATTGACCTACAGTAAGTGTTCAATTATTGCTGCCATGATTGCACACATTGGCTGGATATACTCATACCTGGTGCTGTCTTCCCAGTAAGGACCAGCTTGTTTGGCTGGTTGCCGGCCTTCAGCTTCTGAGTACGGGGCGGTTGCAATGTTTGTCTCGCCTGTCGTTGTCTCTTCAGCTCTTCCTCGCGCTCCTGGGCTGCCCGGATCTCCTCTTCGATCATGGACAGGGTTCTTTGTTTGCGGGAGCGCAGCTTGAACGGCCCTGAGGTGACTTCTGTGTCCTGAGCACGAGTGACAGCCGCTGTGCTCCTGAGCTCTGCTGCTTCAGAGTACTTACTGAAATAGCTGAATTCTGGTTTCTCCACTGGTGGTGGAGAAGGACTAGGGGGTTTGTAAGTGTTCACTGGAATAACTGGGGCGGCTTGAACTACAGTTATTTGAGGAGCAATTGTTCTCGTCTCTTCCTGAGGGGATGGCACTTTGGGAGGTGTTGTGATGGTAGATCTCTCGACTAGGGGTTGGGGTTGAATGCTTTCCAAATGTCTTTCGGGGATAGGGGACGAATGTTGTGTGGCCTGAAGAGGCTCCCATTTGTCATTCTGCAGAGCAATGGCTTGCTGGATAGCATTTTGAACTAGAATACCAGCATGGTATTCCAGCTCTTCTTCAGTCAAGCCTTCTCCGTGATAAGACCCACTCTGTTCACCTGGAGATCTGATACCAATTTCATGTTTCCCATTGATTGGTGTAGTGGCCATTGGAGTTGAGGGAAAAGAGTATTCCCCAAGAGAGTTTTCCAAATAGACACTTGTGGTCTCATTTGATGCACCACTGTCACTTATGTTGTCCATACTGAAGTCATTGGAGAGCGTCTCGAGTACAGTGGTGTCCTGAGACCGCAGGGATAGGTCATCTAACCCGGAGTCAATTTCTTCCATATGGTAGGAGCTGTTCAAAGAACGTTGACACAAATCAGAATCCTCTTCCTTCACAATGGTCATCACAGCCCGGGCACAAGTAAAATCATCATCTTTAAACTCGTTCTGAGCCAAACCATTTTTGGGTGGTGTGACAGATTCTCCAGAGCAGCAGTAAATCTTTTCAGCTTTGACTGTAGTAACTTCACTTCCATCATAGAATGTGACCCCTTCTTGATTGGCAACTGTGACAGAACCGCATGGCCTCTCTACGTGCGTGACCTCGGGAGTCCTGAAGAAAGGTTTGGCAGAGTAAAGCTGCGGTGCCACGTTCCTCTTAGGGGCTGTGGGCTGCTTGCTATGATCCATCTGCAGAAATTGCTTGCGTGCTGCAGAAAAGTCAATCTCTTCCATGAAAACATCTTCCTTGTTTCCTATTTCAGGTTGGATGACGGAGATTGTCTGTCTGGGAGCAGCTTGTGGCATACGGTTTGTTTCTGGCCTCCTCTGCTTCCTCTCCTCATATCTTCGAAGAGACTCCAGCTGCTCTGGCTCCAGCTCCTCTTCCAGTGCCTTTTCCTGAGGTGGATTCCACCATTTCGCTGCAATTCCAGGATTTTTCTTGACTGCCTGACCCCGAATGAGTTCCAGCCTTTCCCTCTCTAGCTCTGCAATTTCCTCCGTGGGTCGGACTTTCTTCACCCGGACCTCTTTCTCAGTTGGGTTGTCAAATAGTTTTGATGGTTTCTTTTCTTCATGAAATGGTCGGAGCTCAAAACGTGCCTCTTTCTTGATTGCTGTCCTAGGGGACTCTGGTGACCTTGTAGAGTCGTTTCCTATCATCGCTGCATGGCCATTGGGTTTAGTATTAAAGTTATCATCAACAAAAGTGGTCTGTTTTTTGCCTTCTAAAACAACTTCATGGTTGTGTAAGGCTGATGTGTCACAGGTATGCACAGAAGGTCCAGTTCCATGACCTCGAATTGAGATAATCTCTAGGGAACTTGTCCCATTTGAAGTCATTTCGGCCCTGGGGTCACAGCAGTTGTCCTCAAGGACCTGATCCAGGTACAGGATTTCCTTGGCTACTTCGCTGTCCAGTCCGTCTCCCCCGTCTCTCACACTGTTCTGCCCACCGCCCACATAACTTTGCTGGGTCTCAGTCTGAACTTCAAGCTCCATACTGCTCTCACCAGCAGATATCACACTCGCTGAATCGAAAAAACTTACAGTCTTCAGGCTTCTCTCTCTTTTCAGCTCACTGTCATCCTCTGAGAGTTCAGGGGACTTCTAGGGAAATAAAGATAGAGATCACATTAGTTCGAACATGCATTATAGTTGCTCATGAAAATACATAATTGCACGACATTACTTTTTTTCTAACTTTCAAGCATTTCGCACCTTTGAAATTCAGTAACTACACAGTAATACATTTGGTGCAAAACTGGGTTTGTTTGATGACCTCAACACTATTTCTGAATTTGGGTGCACACATGTAAATCACACTTGAGTCTACTGAAGGTGTTCTGTTGTGCAGTTTCTGTGAACTCTTGCTGCTGATATAAGATAAATCACAGAAGTGAACAGCTCTTGATGATGTAGAATTTTTGTCTTTGCATGCAAAAATGCAACGTTGAAAATAACATACAGTAAGATATGTGCATAGATGGACCCCTTCCCCAAACTAAAAGTAGTTTATTTATCTGCAGAATACTGTTCAGTTGTTTTATGTGCAGATTATCAGAAATGTCCAAAACGAAGAGAACCTCATTTATATTGGTTGCTACACCACCAACTGTCTGAACATCAGAGACCAAAGCAACATCCTAAAGAAAATATTGCATGTGACCATCATGCATAATATAGGTGGACTGTGGTAAGATGTAGAAGATAATGGGTTTGTTGAACTCTGACCTCTGCTATCTGATCCTGAGTTTTAATAATTGAAGATCCCTTCTCTTGGTCTACTCAATGGTATAAAGGAGTTGCACAAGTCTCAAGTGAGAGGAAAACATGGGACTTTCACCTTAGCATCCCCATTAACACACCCACATCAGATGATAGGAATTCATACATATCTTTTTGGAGAATACCATTGACCTGCAATGGAACATAAAGTACAAATGAAGAGTTCAGATGCAAAAGCCTCTAAATGCCATTTGAAATTTTCTTCTAAAATGATCATTTTTATCAAGCTTGTATATTTAAGTTCAGTGATTTCACTTAAATGGCAATTATAATTACCTATTAAGTGTTATTTAAGTGAAATTACTGAACTTAACTATACAAGCTTGATAAAAATCATCATTAAAGAAGAAAATTTCAAATGGCATTTAGAGGCTTTTGCATCTGAACTCTTCAAATGTTTTCTGTTTCAATTTCTTCTGTATGATTGAAGGATTCTAGTTCATGCATTTGGCAGAGCATTCATCCAAAGCAACTTACATATGTTTTCCTGCGTATCAAACCCAGACCTTTCATAAGGTACAAGAACATCACAAGGTAAGCAAGGTTGTGATGATTTATGCTCAGCTCAACTCATGAGAAACAAACCAAACGTTTAGGTTTTGCAAAGGAAAGGTTTTGCATGCCCTAGTTTTCTTTATGCCCCTCCATTTCTATGTCTAATGGGTGTGAGTGGGTAATAGATCCTAGTTATTTACCAAAAGAAAACACTGATGTCTAGACTATGTAGACACTCTTTATTTTCAGAGGAATAATTGCAGGGGGGTTTCTATTGCATGGTTCTGGTACTGAAGTGGTCTAGTAACCCTGTGGGACTTTGTTGAGATGCATTTGCAGAACAGTAAAGTCTCCTCAGGGGAAAATACCACTTATTACACTGAGCTTTGCTTTCATTGCTACTCATTCACCAGATGGACAGTCCTTTTTAAATGAAAAATCTGACAGATCTTATTTATTTTTTGTCTTAGGGCATTTTCAAAGATTTTTTTGAGGAATGACAAGCTTGCTAAAAATGTTCTACATGTTTCTTTAATATTATTAGTGTATGCAAGTTTCTATTTCATGCTTTCTTGTTGAACATTGGCTACAAATTTGGTATGCTGTTCCAACCGAAATTCTTCTGCTGATATTTGTTCCAAGTTTGGAAACCACAGGATGCCACAAACCAAAGCAAGTAAACCGTACCCCAGCAAACCTTTAACAACAAAACCACTGAATCCATACAAGATACTAAAACGTGAAAGTGTTATTGCTAGTAAGTCCTGTCTAGAGTGCAGTTTTACTGAAACCGTTATAGTGCTGTATTCTCTGGTAAACAGAGGCCATTGCAGGAATTCTGTTTCTTTGCTCAGCATTTATGTTTTAGAGGCGAGTGTGCATGCCTGAGCAATTTCAGTTGTTTGCTGTTGTTTGAAAGTTGGTGTTCCTGAAAAGGCTAGTCAGAAACCTGTAAAGAAAATAACGGTAATATAACCTGCCATAAATGGAAAAGCATAATAAACTAGCAGGAGTGCAGCATAGAGATGTTATTTTTACTGGATAGCCTAGAAAAGAGGAATTTGTTTTGAAATAACTGTATTTTCAGCTCAAAGTCATGTGATATTTCAGGTGATGGACGGTGTGTTCATGGCCACATAAAGTAAACCTATTGTTTTTTTATCACTGGGTGGAACAAAATATATTACATCATTAGAACTGGGATTCTAATACACTTTTAAGCTAAATTTCTTTATGAGCAAATAAATATTCCTAAACAAATACTTTAATGGGAATAATATTAAAAAAACAAAATTTCCAGTCCACTTCAGAAGAATGTTTGGCTCCCCAAAGAAGCTTTCAATGTATAATTATTAAAAGAACCATTTTTTTTCTTAGTGTGAAAAACGGCTAATAAACTTTTTTTCTAAAGAACCTTTTGTTCAATGGAAACATTCCATGGATGTTAAAGGTTCTTCATGGAACCATTGCTTCCAATAAAGAACCTTCATTTTAAAAGTGTATCATTATTACATTTATTGAACATTCATATTTTTAATCATAACAACAATATGATTGAATCTAAAAATATGATAACTAATATTACCAGATTTTTTCCAAAAAGTATGTAAGAGGGCTTTATCTAAAAAAGCAGAACATGAACTGTTTAAGTGAATCTGCAGATTTATTTCAGATCAAACAGCGTTAATAACTTCCTTTCTTATCTCAAGCCGTTCTGGGTCTGAGTAGCAGACAGTGTCACATGTGTCTTTAATGTGGCATGAGCTCAATAAGACCCCTTTCTTCAGTCACACAGACAACCCCCTTCCCTTCAGGGTGTGTTCACTAGCGTCCAGCCCAAACTCTCACCAAATAATGACAAATAGGAAGTCATGTGAATTTCCCTTAAGCCAACAGCCTAAGGGTGTTGATTTGAGCACTACAAAACACTTAATCAACTCATCAGTTCTGAAACAAAGCCATGATAAAATACGAATCTAGTCTGCATGAGGCCACTCCTTTCCTCATTCGAAAACCAGTGATGATCTACTGGTTGGAAATTGTTTGAAATCACAGTGTGAGAATTGTCAAATCTGACCAGGACGTGTTGTTGAAAGTTTTCATGAGAAGCGCCACGTGTTTTTACCACAGTCTCATGTGTCCTGTCTAGCACTTCCCACAGCGGGCCAACATCCAATCAAGCGTTAAGAGCATTAAGAGCACAACACATGGCGTTTCCCCCTTTTTCTCCCAAACAACTCTCACACACAAGGAGAAATCACAAATGCAATCTCTTTAATATCTCAATTAGTCCTCAGAAATGAGTTCTAATAAGAGTTTAAACTCTCCTGATTGACTTAAGTCTTCTCAAAAGAGATCTCAGCAGTATCTCAAATTGTGCTCAGATTTCTCAAGATTTTAATTTAATTTTAATATGAACTTAATAGCTAATTTCTCATCAAATGAATCCAAAATCAAGTAAAAAACAACAGTGACCATGCACGTATGTTCAGCAAAGAGTTTGACGTAATCACAAGCTTTGATTCTCAAAAGTATTCGAAAGTTGTAGAAAAAGACAAAGACTTAGGGCCAGATTGACTGACTGGGACAGGATTTACTAAAGACATGTAAACAACAAAAATGTGAATGTCAAAACGGTGACTTATAGAGTGCCAAAGTTACAATGTCTATAGAGTGCCAAAGTTACAACGTCACTCTGTTGGCCAAAACGCGGAAGTGAGTTAGCATTTTAGCACTCCTGGTTCCCTCGCTCTAAAGTCTATGGGATTTTTGAATGGGTTTTTGCTAAATCGCCTGAAATAAGGTCCGTGGTAAACAAAGCCTCTAAATATTTTTACGTTTTGATCTATGACAAAGAACACACAGATATAACCTGTTTGTGGTTTTTGAAACTTTATTGTGACTGCTTGTGTTTTTTTAATTAACTTGATAAGACAAAACATGTAATGGTCACAACCCTTTGTTAAACACAGATCTTATTTTTTGCGATTTTCCAAAAGTCTATGGGGAAAATTCAGAGCTTTTCAATCGAGGGAACCCATGCGCCGCTAGCTTCCGAGTTGTCCTACAAAGTGAAGTCATCACTTTTGCACTCTATTACCTATTCTGTCTATAGTGTTTCTTTACAAAGTAACATCGCCAACTACTGGCCTGGCATGAATAATACAGCGGATTTTTTTGTCATCTCGCGGATCCATGTATATGGTGATCGGTTTGACTAAGTTGTCCGCCAGTATGCGGAAACTTGTGTAAACATGTCGTTGTTGTGTAAACATGCCGTAAGATTTTTTTTTTTAGCAAGGCCAAGCTGATTCGTTAAAGAAACATAACTAAGAAATCCATGAAGTCTCTTGACCAGTGAAAGAGCAACCTCTAGCAATCCTCATTTTTTTCTTTTCAATAACCATAAGCCACTCTCAGCTGTCTTTGCAATGGCTGCATGTGCATTAAAACTGTATTCCCTGGACTCTGTGGCCCTGAGCAGTCAGGAGTGAAGGGACATCAGTGTGTCCTCTGAGGAACAGACGCTCTCCACGGATGTTCCTCTAAACCCCCTCTGACATTCCCGGCATAGTTCAGCTGTCTTCCAGGCTCCGGCAGTCTAATAGAAGTGATGAAGGATACACAGCCCTGCTTCACGTCATTAAACTGTGTGTGTGTGAGTGTGTGTACTATCTGCATGGTCTTGAATGTGTATATAAACCTACAAAAGGCCAAGATGGATGGAGATAAACTCCATGTATATTTATACAACTTGTAAGTTAATGTGTTCATGGGCACAGTGCCTCACATTTGTCTTCTAACTCTGAAACGGGTTTATTGGTGCC